TTATGTCCTCCCTGCCCACATATGCTACATGAATGTTGATTTTTCGGCTGCAGTAATTCACTTAAAGATTTATCGCGCTTCTTCTTTGGCTTTCCAGGAGGTCTTTTCCATTTGGGTGGTAGTAAAACCTCCTCTGCAATATGTTCTGATATATTCCAGTCATTTCTGTCCGATAACGGGTACACAGACACACCGTATGTCATTACAACAATATTTGGTTTGTAATAGTTAGAGCAATATTCTTCTGGCATTATAAACTTGCTCTTCAATACAGCCCAAGCATGTGGGCATGGCAATTCATCAACTTGGAACGTCCCACAAATACATTTTCTCTCTAACAGGCAGACTGTGTAATTCCTTCCTCCATCGTTAACCGTATGTAAGTATTCAGTTGATGGTACCACCTACATTTAAAAATAGAAATATAAGTTTTGAGAACATATAACTGAATTACCATATGTATAATGCCGAGTTACTCAGTTACATACAACTGAAATATTTGCATACAGATGAATACATCTTATATTTAGATCAGCAGACTATCAACTGTAATTAGTGCAGAACTTATCAAAAGTCTGCTGTACTTTAGACAATAGGAGGCTAAAAAAACAGTAGAATGATACGTCATGACAATACATATTAAAATTATATATAATACAGATTTGTTAGTTGTATTCTGATGTATTCGAATAGTTTTTGCAGCATGTTTTTAGTTATATTCAGTTGTATTCATATCAGACCTTCGAAAAAATATGTCTTTAATGTGTTTCAATTTAGTTGTATTCATATGTATTCATGGTAGTTGTATTTTAAAAAATGATTGTATTCAGTTGTATTCATGCCATTAATTCAGAAAACAATTAAGCTATATACTACAATGACATTAAAATATAACTTACAGTCATACGTGTAGACATTGCCTCATTCAAAGTCAGCATCTCCTGGTATTTTTTCCAAGCGTCGTGTATGTCTGTGTAGATTCTTTGCGGTTACTACAATTCCAACGTCCAAATATCTTCCTAACTTCTTCGAGGAAGTCGTATATTGGCAATTCCCTTGCTAAAACTAGTGCGCATTGATTGACTCAACAATATTTGACGTCATTGTCCATCCCCTATTAACAGGTGCATACAACCTAGCCCACTTTTCGTATCCAGCTAACTCTAAGTATTCTTTCACCCTAATATCTACCTTCTCCACCTTCTCCATCAGACTATCAAATTCAGCTTGTGTGTATGCTTTTGCCATCGAGAAGTATATCTCGCTCAACTTGGCATGACTCTTTTTGAATTTCTTATATACGTTGTTCCATAAATGCCATATACAAGCAAAATGCGGTATATCTGGATACATTCTCGATACAGATTTAATGATACTCTCATTTTTATCTGAAATGATGCACATGTTTTCCCTTTACCGTATGCTATCTTGAATTGCTCAAAGAATCATGTCCAAGCAGCATCGTTCTCTGAATCAATAACACCATATGCTAGTGGCAATATATGACCTGAAATACAATTGAATACATATTTTTAAAACATGTATTTCAATATTTAAAATATTAACAGATTGTATTATAATTCAGATACTCACCTGCACCATCCAACGTGCTTGCCGAACCAAATGTCCCGGTGTAGTAAGATTTTAGGTGACTTCCATCCACAACAACAATGGATCTACAATGATCAAACCCCTTTATAAAGGCATACAAAGATATATACACGTACATGAATTCATATTATGGCGATTTTACAATTCTGATGTGGGAACCTGGATATGTCATATCCATTGTATATAAGTATCCTGGTAATTTTTTGTATGAATCAGCCGGTGCACCTCTCAAAAAATTCATTGGCTTTTCTTTAGCCCTCCACGCCAATATGTAGCTAACATCTACACCTAAATCTGATTTCACATCATCAATAATATCCTTTGGGGTGTATTTCCTCTTATGATTAGTAAGCTTAGACCTTATCATACCACCTATAAGGCTGCTACTTGCCTGTCGCTGCTCATACCTTGTCTTTCAGCGGACATGTATGGTTATCAATGAATTCTCTCACTTTGAATAGTTCTGATTTGTTAATGCTTGAAGCCTTAAACCTCCATTCACAATCTTCTGAAATACATAATAATGCATAGCTGCAAAGAATTAATCATTGTACATATGATTAGCATAAGTGTTTACAAAAAAATTCACTCATATACACACGATTACAATCTGATTATTTTACATACTGACATCTATATATATAAATTTGTATACTACTGAATTCAATTATAGTTATATGCATTTAAATACAATGAATACAACTAAATACAATTTTGGGTATATGCATACACTTAAAACCACAACAAACAAAATAAGAAAATAATTAGAGCCACTGTAATGTAATTATACTAGTAAAATACATATGAATACATGTATTCAAGGACCATAAATAAACATATGTTAACTACATCTGTGATAATCAAGAGGAAATCCACAAATACGCATAATACAACAACGTTAAACTTATAGCTCGAATCAATAATAGAAAATATAAAAAAAAAGTTAAATACATGCAAACCTGACAACATTAGACCTATCAACCCGGAATTGAAACCTTTGAGCTATAGCATAATTCTCCATCACCTCTTTCAATGTAGCCTTATCCTTATACACTTGTCCAGCCATAACCTCCCCTTGATTAGTTTTTGAAATTATCAAATCCTTATTGAGTTCGAACACTCCAATCGCTTCTCCTGAATTGACAAAATCTAGAGCCAGTGTATCATCTGTATTGGAATCGTACATTTGAACTGCTTCGTCTATTTGCACAATGTCGCCTTGATTTAAACTACCTCCGGATACAAGTTCTTTTTCAATAGTTGTTATGCACAAAGGATACATACCAAATTCTTTGTTTTCTTTTTTCAATTCTACATACACTCTGTAACCCATATCATTGTGTATTTCCATTGGCGTGCAATTTTTTTCTACTTTGTATTGAATTTTAATGAACTTTGAGCTCAAATCTATACCCAGTTGATTAGAAATTGAAGCAACCAGATCATTAAAGGAGGTATACTCCTTTATCAATATTCCCTCAATTGAAAAATCGATGTAATTGCCCTCATCGTTCCACTTGTCAGAATGACACAACAACACTGTTAAACTTGTCATATGTATAAAAGGAACTATACCGTTTTTTGTATATAATTTGTATCAATCTAATTTTCCGTGGTTGAATTGATATCTGCGAACAAAGAAAAAGGAGAAGTGAATGGCAGAACTTCGAACAGATGTTGCACAGGTTTTCGCTGCTTTTTTTTATAGCTTGAATCGTGTATGGTAGAATACAGATTAATGGGTACTAGTTTTTGTTCGTTGAGTTAAATTAAGAGAATATCATGTGATTTGATTTCCTTCCGTTATTAACTAGTTTAACCTTCTAGATTTTGCGCAGATATGTTAATGTATTCACGTTAATGCCGCGTGAATACAGTTAAATACATATCAACCTTAGCTGGAATTCCCTTTTTAACGCCTATTTTTTCTATTGTACTAAAAAATACAATAGCTTAAATACATAAAATACATTGTAAAAAAACATAAAAGGTATCTATAACACGTAATATAACAAAGGGTATCTATAAATGGCTAATTAGACCTAAAAGATGGTGCTTTATGAAAAATTCAATTATATAAATATGGGAAAATTTCACATTAGAACAACTGAGCTCCATACTTTTCAATTTTATAGCCCATATTTCAATTTACAACCAACTAGCCCAAAAATAATAGGCTAAGATTCAACATCCAACTCAAATAGGTTCTCAAAATTACTATTTAATTTTTAAAAAAGATTCCTCAAGCTTTTAAATTAATTTTCGAATCAGTAACTGTGACTCAAACATTAATTCAACAAACCAAATTCATTTGGGTGGTGAAAATTAGATTTTTAACAAGCTTAAATATGTGGAGTTAAATTCCGAATTTGATTTTGTGAGAAATTTGGAGAGGGTGTTATTTAGACTTGTTAGAAATAGTATAAGGAGGTTGTATATAAAATTTGAAGTCATTTAATGGAGATTTGGACTGGTTTTGAACGAGAATTACAACTAAAAATCGTGGAAGAAGTTCGTCTACAGACGCTTGTATAAAGGTGTATAAAAGTGTATAATAGTGTATAATGTGTGTTTCTACACTCATATACACTATTATACAAGATTATACATAATTATACAAAAAACTGACTTCGTCTTCTTCCTTGCGTCTTTTTTGAAATTTAACTCAAATCTCCTCCAAATCACTTCAAATTTAAATTTTGAACTTCTTTTGATATTTTCAATCAATTGGAACAACACCCAATCCAAACAACTAACAAATTCAAAAAAACCCATTTTCAAAAGCAAAGCTTTGAATGGTCTTCAATGTTGGACTTCTACTCTTCAATTTTCTTACGTTGCAAGCAGGTAACACAAGAGGAGAAACAAAAAATACTCGGCCCGTGAAGCATATGTAGAAGATGTGAGAAGACGAGAGAGTGAAAGCAATTGTTGTGAGAACAAAGAATTAACTCTATAGCTTTTAGAAGCAATGGTTGTAAGAACACAAATTTTGAATTTGCAAGTGCTTTCAAAATATGTACAATGTGAGCTAGGTGGGGTAAAACTTAAAAACATGAGCCATTTTTTGTTATGGTGTGAAGTCATATGTATTTTCTTGTAATTTTTTCTATAAATATTAAAGGTCATAAAAGTCGATCAATGTTTGGGGGATATTTTTGTTGTTCAACATTTAGTATAAATTATTCATACTTTTATAATAATATAAATAGATAGATAGATATAGATATAGATATATTTGACATTTAAACTAAACTTTGGGTTAACCAATTGACGAAGAAAAGAGAACGAAATAGATTGGGGAAAATACAAAGCCAGTCGGCTAAACATTTCGCAAACCGAAAAATCCCGACCCGATTTAGGGCGGGTATACCCGTCACTCTTATAATATGACGCAAATTATCCCTAATCGTTAGGGCAAGAGATTTCAGATATTTTTTCTCTTTACTTTCTAGCGAAGATGTACAACGGAATCGGGCTACAAACGCCGCGAGGCTCCGGCACCAACGGCTACATACAGACGAACAAGTTCTTCGTCAAGCCGAAGACGAACAAAGTCCTCGTAGACGGCGGCAAGGGTTTCGAGTCCGGCCAAGGAACCGCCGGCGTGTCGAGAAAAGCGAACAAGGACATTCTCGAACACGACAGGAAACGGCAGATTCAGCTCAAACTTCTCGTCCTTGAGGATAAGCTTGTCGATCAGGGATACACCGATGCTGAGATTGCGGAGAAGCTCGATGAAGCTCGACGTAATCTGGAGACAACATCTGAAGATTCTGGTGGATCCACTGCTATTGGCTATCACAGGTAATTTTTTTTTGAGAGTTATAGTTATGCTTTATGCATAATATACGCATTGGATCAATTATTGTCGAAGAACTAGTTACGAATTTTTAGATTTGATTGAGTTGATGTTGTTATGAGTCGTTTCTTAGAGAGTTATTAGGAAATGGAAATAGAAATGGAAATCTGAGAAATTGTATTGTTCTTTTTTTATTAGAAAGAAATTGGATAGGGGATAAGCGTGGTTATTACAGCTTTGTGATGCTTCTCTCTGAGTTCATAGTGTTGTTTTAAATGACGGTGGTGTACGGGTCACCTTATGTACACCTCAACTATTTCTCGTCGGTTCATTTGTGAGTTAACTCTTCACACAAGGACTTGACTGAGAACAAATCACCTAGTGTTTCTTAACTCTTGGGATTTGAAACTGAGACCTCATGCTTTTCGTACCACTTCATTGACCAAAGGCCATACCCTTGGGTGCTGAGTTCATGTTGTTTTGTTTCAACCTTTAAGAATATGTTATGGATTATGGTACAATTTTGAGAAGTTAATGATCTATATGAATTAATGACTTTTTAAGGAGATGAAAAATTGAAAAGAATTTTTTGCTTTCCTTTTGTCTAAATGAGATGAGGAGGGAAGGTTAGTTTATCAAAGGTTGTAGATACATATAAATATGATTAGGTTTTGGTTTGATTCTTGCGTCCTCTACCATTCTCATTTCTTGAGCAGTGACGAAAATCTTGACTTAAAATTTTAGCCTGAGGTTCATTGGGATAATTGTTTTGTAGTTCTATCTTACTGGTTGGGAAAGAGGAGAAGGCCAATCATGGTATAAGTTGTTCTGATGGGCAGTTGTATCACACTCTAGTTAGTGCAGTTTTGAACTTGTGTTACTGTTGTCGCTCTGATTGTCATAACCTGGTAAGCAATATGCAGTTTCATTAGTTCTGAAGTTCCAAGAATTGGTTTTGTGGGATACAACTGTTACAAAAGGATTTAGCCCTCTAGTTGTCAAGATGTCTTTACCAATATCTTTGACCTCCAAACATCACTAGGAAAATTGGCTTGTTAGACAGAACAAAGCATGGGTTTTAAGGTTAAGAAGCAGGTTTGGGTTTCCCAAAAGCTACTAGGATTAAGACTGTTAGAAGTCCAAGTTTTGCTGACTTTTTTTCCCACTATCATATAAATGTTTTGCTAACTGGCCAGGAGAAGAGAAGTTTAAATATTTGCTTGTTAGATTTTTTACAGTATATTTGGTACGCTCTTTGTGCGTGTATCTTGATCAGTGAATATAGACTTTTTAAAAGCATAAAAATTATATAAGAATACATTTGAGCTAAAAAAAATAAGAAAATAATTTAAGTCCTGAAAATGATGATTTTTTATGTTATTACACTACTCCGCAAAAAAAAGAAATCCTGCCTCATAGAAGTGCTCACAATGTTATTCAAATATTAACTATAAGTTTGCACAAGAGACATAAGTACCAATAGAATATTATAGTGTCATATTTTCCTTCATAACAAATGAACGGATATTTTTAAGTACAAGATTTACATAAGTAAACTCTTAATAATTTTAAAGTTTTTGGATTTTTTACATAGTTTAATTAAAAAATATATAATAATATAGTTTTAAACTCCTAAACCTAGATTTGTACAAAGTAAATTCTTAATGTTTTCAAAGTTCTAAATTGTAGGACTTTCTACATAGTTCAAGTAAGGAAAATTTAATACGTAAAATTTTAGTTACTTTGAAACTCCTAAATATTAGAAAATTAATTAAATGAATATTCAATAAAGTATTTCTTATGGTAATTTACCCATAGGGATTGCAGATTTTTTATTTATTTATAAAGATCAAGTTTGGATGAGATAAAAAGCCGCAAGTTTTAAGTTGTATTTTTCCATTCTACGTATACATTGGTAATGTAAAATTAAAACTATAGTACGTAGTGTATCTCTTGTTAATGAAAGGAGAGGGGAGAAAAAACGTGGTAGAAGTATATTTAATTTTTTCTTTCTTTTTAATTTATATAAGGTAAAAGTATAATTGAACTTGAAGTCCTAAATATTAGGATTTCATACCTAGTTCAAATAAGGAAGAATTAGATACACAAAATATAATTAATTTTTAACTCCTAAATATTGGTAAAGTAATTTAAATGACTGTTTTGTCCAATATAAAATTAACTTTTAAAGGGTAAAAAAGATGAACAACATTTCGTCAAGGGCCTTCGTGCTTTTTTTGATATATATATATATATATATATATATATATATATATATGTATGTGTGTGTTTGCAAGGCTGATAAGCAACAACTAGTTCATTCAATTTCAGGGTTTCGGGAACACAGACACACCAGATTGCTGCTTTGAAGGAAAAGCAGATGGAATCCTTAAAAGCTGCTCTCAAGATAGGGGCTGAATATGAGACCCAGAAGAAGCGGCATGAGGCTTTTGATTTAGATACTGAAGAGAATGAAGATGGTGATAACAATGAGCTAGTTGATAGGAAGCGGCACGAGAAGGACTTGAGAAAAGAGAAGGATGAGGGTAAGCGTCGCAAGAAAAAAGAGAAGAACAAAAAACGTGAGGATTCTTCTGACACTGACAGCAGTGACGCCCATGCCAAAGAGCCTAAAAAGAAAAATCATAAAAAGGCCAGCCAATCTAGATCCAATACTGATACTGCTGTTGATAATAAGTCAAAAAAATTGTCTGCCAAGGAAAAAAAGGGTAGAAGGCGGCATCACAGTGACGATTCGCTCTCTGATTCTTCCTCAGATTCTGATTGTTCTTCAGAGTCTGATCAGGAGAACAAACATGCAAAACCCCATAGGAGACATTCTGAGGGTGAGTACAATGATGGCCGTGATGCAAAAGCCAGTAACTTTCAACAAGGTAGAAGACATGATTCTGATGAGGATGGGTACAAAAATGACCGTGATGTCAAAGACAAGATGATTAAGAAAGAGAGAAGGCATGTTACCGAGGGCAAGTATGATGATGGTTGTGATGCTAAAACCAAGAAGTCAGAAAGAGGTAGTAGACATGATTCTGATGACAACAATGATGGTAGTGATCGTGATGTAAAAAGCAAGAAGATTCAGGAAAGGAGACATCTTACTGCAGGTGAGTATGATGATTGTCGTGGTTCTAAAAACAAGAAGTCTCAAGGAGGTAGAAGACACGATTCTGATGATGATGATGATAGTAATGATCGTGATGTAAAAAGCAAGAAGATTCAGGGAGGGAGGAGACATGTTACTGAGGGTGAGTATGATGATGGTCGTGATGCTAAAAACAAGAAGTATCAGAGAGGTAGAAGACACGACTCTGATAATGATGATAGTAATGATCTTGATGTAAAAAGCAAGAAGATTCAGAAAGGGAGAAGGTACGAGTCTGATGACAGTGAGTATGATGAAGGCTATGATGTAAAGAAAAATAAGACTCAAAAAGGTAACCGATGCAATTCTGATAAGGATGAAGGTGAAATCAGCAGTAGCGACTATTCCCGCAGCACCAGTGATTCAGATAGTGAGAGGAATTATCGTGGACGCAAGGATGTAGATAGGACAAAGTCTGAGAAGATCAATAGAAGTGGTCGTGGAGATGATTATGGTGGTAGGTGGGAGAGTTCGGTAAAGAAAGATAGGGAATTTCAGGAGGATGATTTGAGAAAGATTCATGGTGGACAAGCTCCTGATAAAGGACTGGACACGTTCAAGAAATTGGAGAAGTTATATCAATCGAGGGAAGATGTGTTTGGTGGATCAAGTGGTAGTCAGGAGTTGTTGAGGGGTAAGAGAAAACTAGACGATGAAAACTTGGATGAACGCGAGGGAAAGTCAAGGAGGATGGATTCTGGAAAAAACGAAGAGCATAGGAGGCCTAATAGTAAAACTGAGCACCAAAGTAGGTCATACAGGAATATGGAGGATAGTAAAGATCAACAAGCAAGAAGAACTGGGGGAGAGTATGAAGGTGATGGCGGAGAGCGTGACACTAAAATTCAGAGTCGGAATGAACTGCATCGTGAAAGCAGACATGAGAATCGAGATTATGAGGTGCGTGAATGGGAGAGAAGAGAAAGTAGGGATGATGATTGTTGGGAAATGAAGCAAAAAAGAGATGAAGAGGATGATCGGTACAGGAAGCATGAGAAAGAACAGGATTCTCAGCGTGGAAGGCATGAACAAGAGGGCGAGGAGCATAGAAGCAGAACGCGTGATAGTTATAGAGGTCATGATTCTCACAAGAGGGCTAGACATGATGATTTACCCTCTGGTGGAAATAGAAGATATGATGATGACAAGTATGCTGATAAGAGGACTAGGCTGTGAAAGCTGCCTTAGATTTTGCCCTGCCAGAATATCGAGTGGTGAGTTCTAACTTGAGATACACTTGCCTTTCTTTACTATTATATGCCAATCACAGGGAGATCCCTTTTTAAAAAATGAATTTTATAAAGAAACTCATAGTTAGAGTATGGTTTCTTTTATTAATAAGGTACTCTGCTTAACTGCCTTTCAAGTCCTTCTATTAATAAAAATATACCCCATTAAACATTGTACTATTTGGATATGAAAAATATGCAGTTGGAAGTGAAGACTTAGGTGTTATAAAAAAAGGTGGCGACAATAACAATAAATGTTTACAGATTTAATTCCACAACCAGATTCAATATAATGGGACAATCACTTTCTATTTACATCTGGGATCTAGGTTCATATGTATGTTATGTTTTACATCCCTCTTTGGTTTTCCAATAATTTTGAAAAGGGGTGACCATGCTTTTCATGGTAAGTGGAGCTTTGCTCGCACTAAGCTGCCATTGTTATTTGACTGTACAGTTCTATTTCAAAATTACCATCTGAACCCAGGAAAGAAAGCTGCGTAAAATGTTCATGATTGATTGAGAAGAATGGTACATTTTTCCTCTTAATTTGATGATTGTTTTGCTGCTATTTAGGGGTATTCCTTAACGAGAGTTAGCTTTCTATGGGGGGATATAACTGCTGGTCAAGGGAAACTTCACAAGGCATTGAGATCTAGAGACACTGGTTTTAAGCTGGCACGTATGCAGAAATTTGAACAATGGTTTCCGTTGTTAATTAACATAAAAATTAGGTAAAGAGGCTCTTGTTTCTTTGGCCCAGGTTCCCTACATTGACATTAGGGTTGCTCTATATTAGGGGTGTCAAATGGGCAGGTTGGACCGATTTTGGGCGTGTCAAAATGGGTTGAGCCAATATTTGACCGCCCAAAAGTTACTTGGGCTAAGCTGGGTTGGATCAATATGGGCTAAAATTCGGGTCATAGCCCAACCCGCCCAACTCTTATCAAGCTTTACTTAATATGTGTTGTTTTGTTATACAACAACAACCCACTAAAATCCCACAAGTGGGGTCTGGGGAGGATAGAGTGTACGCAGAAGGGTAGAGAAGTTGTTTCCGAAAGACCCTCGGCTCAAGAAGACGAAAATAAACAATACTTAATATATGTTGTTTTCTTATGAATTTAATTACTAAATAAGACTTTTTTTTTTCTTTTATTATGGTCATATATAACATATCAAACAAAAAATATATTATTTATAACATATTTTGGCGAAGTTACTCGTGAATCGATTTGGACCAAAAATCAACCCAACTTTAAATGGGTTAGGTGAAGATGAGCTGAGTTTAATAAATGAGCGGGTCAATAACCAGCCCAACTTTGGGCGGGGCATTTGGGCTTGAGCCAAATTTGACAGCCTTACTCTATATTCCCCTCTCATACTGGTGTACACTGTTGGACTCCAATTCCCTTCAGTTTGGTGCAGTACATACAAAGTTTGTCCTTACCTCTCTGAACATGCTCTTTCCTAACGCTATGCTTCAGAAAAGAAGTTGCGATAGTGTGCCGTAGTGATATCCTTTAGAAGAATTACATAATGTGATTGGCTAACTTTCTCACAATCGGTCTTTTTTTCAGTTTCAGCAGCTCAGTTGAGGAAGATTGCCGATGTTTAGAAACCAAGCATAAAGAGGCAAAGCTTGGTTAGCTGTTTAGTATCATAAGTATGTGAGCTTTCTGCCAAGGGGTGTTGTGGGGGTTAGTCCTCGAAACACTTTCCGGTGTACCTAAGAGGTTTTTCCTGATGAATCACTGTCTTTACTGTTGACCGTCAGAAGTGGTGTGCAAGAATTAGCTGTAATAAGTAATGATTCCTCTTAGGGGGAGTGTGTGCTACCGTGGCTTCCTTGTGAAGGTAAGGTCCGCAGGCCCATGTACAATATACATTTTTCAGTTCTTATTGTTTGAGTAGGTTGTTTTAAATTTTTCGTCTGGGTGTTTATGATATTTTTTGAACTAAAATTGTCTAAATACCATCAGATCGTTAAGGTTTAGTTCAAAAGGAAAATAGGTATTCAGCATAATTTATAGTCGAACTTAATAATTTTGACTGCCAAAGTCAACATAGAACAATTATTTTAAAACATACTATACGAAGGATGAATAGCCTTAAGGTCATGGCACAGCAGTAGACCCACATACAAGACATGAAGCCTGTATATTGATTAATTAATTAATTAATTAATTAATACTGACTGTATGAGAATAATACGAGAGCAGAAATGCATCAAACATGAGACCTATTTATAAAATGGAATGCTTCTTATTCGCGATGACAATAAGAAGGGCAACAAAATTCAGTTCATATTTGATCGAATGCGAATGTGAGATTTCAGTTCTATGGGGTGCAATATCCTCCTAGGTTCTTAGATTGGACTTATTATATTTTTAAATAGTGAGTTCATAGTTACTATTTGTTGTAATTTTAATCAATTTGAATCAAAGAGAAAATGACTCTCTATAGCCCCTCAAAATTTTAATAGTCCATGTTTTCCCCCATTGACACGAAATGTCCCTCCAGCCCAAATTACATCTAATAGTCCGAAATGTCTACTTTGTATATTTTTTGTATAATAACAGTCTATTTTGTATATATTTTGTATAGTGACAGTCTATTTCGTATATTTTTTGTATAGTGACAGTCTAATGTATGTTTTTCTTTTGTATAGTGACAGTCTATTTTCTATATTTTTTGTATAGTGACAGTCTATTTTTTGTATAGTGACAGTCTATTTGTATATATTCTATATAGGGAAAACTTACAAAAATGTTCCAAATAAGTCTTAACTTATCAACCTCTAGCCGTTAGTCATAAACTTACCAAAACTAGCCAAGTACACATAAAAATTGAAAAATCAAATAAATAAGGTTTTTTCTCTCAAAGAATCACATGCAAAAATCACCTTCTATATTTTTAAGCGTGATTAGTAACATTAGATGCAAGACTGAAAGAAAATTTTATGAATGAGGTAGCAAATAAGGTGATGAAATAAAAAAAATATATTTTTATACATACAATATTTTAAAAATCTAAGCAAAAAAGGAACATTTTTAATGGGTATAGGAAATTCATTAAAATCATATAGATAAGTCAATATACAAAACTTGAGGAAGATTAGAGGTGATTTGGACTGCTTTTCTATCAAAATTTGCAATTAATTCGAGTTCAAAAAATTCTTCTGCAACACATGTATCAAATATGTATCACGCATGTATCTCACATACATGTATACATAGATACACATGTGATACACAATTGATACAAATATGATGCATATGTGATACACAAATGATACACATATCATGGTCAACTTTTACTTTGAATTTTCAATTCAAACCACCTCAAAACTTCACCAAATCATCCCAAAACTGAGATTCAAGCTCCTTAAGCTGTACCCAATCTAATCTAATAATACCCACTCAAAAGAAAGCAAAAATTTAACATGTTTTTTTGCTACAATAGTAATTGGCTAATATTAGTAATATTTGGCTAATATTGGTAATATTTTATAAATTGTCCAATTTTTGTAATGAGCTACTTATAAATGGACATAGCTGGTAGTTTTCCTTTATATAGTGACAGTCTATTGTATATGAATTGTGTAGTGATAGTCTATTTAGTATATTTTTTGTATAGTGACAGTCTGTTTTGTATATACTTTGTATAGTGACAATTGTCACACCTCTTTTTTTTTACTACCCCGAGGGTATATAAGAGAGTTTTTTCAATTAAAGTGACATTAATTGAAATGAGATTATTTTATTTAATTTTTCAGTCGCCACTTGGAATAATTTAATTGGTGCCCAAGTCACCGGTTTATTTTAAATCCCAAATCGAGGAAATGTTTTTTAAGACTGCGAACTAGAAATTCAAGATAAGGAATTCTGTTAACCCAGGAGAAGGTGTTAGGCATTCCCGGGTTCCGTGGTTCTAGCACGGCCGCTTAGCGATTTATACTTGGCTTAAATTGTTTAAACTACTCATTTTTAGGACCTATGTGTACTTATCTTTTCCCTCTTTTAATCACTTGATTTATTCGTAATTAAAGAATTGAGTTACGCGTACGTATATTTTTTTCTTTTGGCGCGTCAAAAGTCATGTCGTGCGAACGTGTCCACAATTAATAACGCTTTGTTTATTTTATTAAGAAAAGTTTGGTTGAAGTTGCGCGAACGCATCCCTTGAGTTACTTTTTAGAATTAAATTTGAAATTATGTTACGCGAACGTATACATAATCACAATACTAGTCTAAATTGAGCCTAAAGCAAACTACAAAAATTCATTTTTTAATTACAACATTTGTGAGGGCCATGGATGATTTAATTTATAGATAGCACGCCTCAAACCTTTTTTTTACAAGCGTTAGCTATTGATCTAATTTTATGAGGGCCATGAATTATAGGTTTTGTTTGGTATGGCACACCTCAATTTATTGCTTTGAGAAATACATTTAACTAAAACAAGCCTAAATAGGCTCAGATTTTAAATCAAATCAGAGTTAATCTAAATCCCCCGTTTATGGGCCTGTTTTGGTTGATATACTGGGTATTTATTTATTTAAAGGAAAACTGGGCCAGCAGTAAGCCCATATTATTTGAAAGTCTTGTAAAGGAGAACAAGGGGAAAGCTGGGCTCAACGTCAAGCCCAGCAATGAGGACGAAAAGATCACCAGAATTTCGAAAAGGGCCAAGGACTATGTTACGCCCCACAATATTACGTCAATATTACGTCCCGCAGTATTATATTACGATGATGTTATACTCTACAGTAATATGTTACGATGGTGTTACCCTATGCAGTAATATATTACGATGGTGTTACGTCCTGTAGTAAAATATTACGATGATGTTATACCTTGCAGTATTACATTACGGTGATGTCACGCTCTGTAGTACTAAATTACGATAGTATTTCACCCAACAATATTACATTACGGTGATGTTACACTACGTAGTAATAGGTTACGACAATGTTGCACCCTGCAGTATTTTACGTTGAATTTGTCGCAAGGTAATTGACATCATTGCAAGGAAAAGATTATTTGGGGATTATAAGGATTATGCTATTTCACAAGTGATTAGTAAATTCATGAAAGTGAGAGGGAAGCAAGTCGAAGAAAATGAATTTCGTTGAAATTTGGTATTTTGGGATAAAATGCAGCTCGAGCTAATATACTCAGTATTTATGGACTAGTACCATACAAGGTTCCACATGACCATAATAGTAAGGTGTATAAGGTATGTGAAAAGTGAGTAATATTTCAAGTAAATGAGGATAATTCTCAATTATGCGGGTAATAGTTTAATTACCGGGTAACGGAATATTATCCAATTAACTAATAAGTGGATAAAGATTAATAATTATCTCAAAATAAACGTGGCAGCCACCTAAATAAATGACTAAGAGTCATTCTTATTAGGTGTCATGTAGATACACTTTACTACATTTAAAAATCTTTCAACATTCAAGACCTTGTATTATTAAAATCAAGGTAGGACATTTTAACACGTTCCATTTTTAAACACAAAATTCATTCTCCAAAAACCTTTTAGCTAGTTGAGCCTTCACACTTCCTTGAAAAAATATTCAGACAATCAATTATCCTTAAATGTTCCATCGTTTTCTTTAGTTGATATTTGGTGTCAAAATGTTGTCATTGTAGTATCAAAATTCTCTAATCTTTCCTCTTTGTAAATGATACTATGAGAAGAGCAAGATCTTACTGGGCAAAGAAAGTTTGCCCTAGCTTGAGATTTTAGCATTATATTCAGAAGTTTTATTTCAAAACTACAATCAGATGTGAGACGGATCAAGGTTATTCTTTCAAGAAATATTATACGAATTTTTTCCTACTTTAGGTATGTTAAGGCTATCCCTTCTTTCTTTTGGCATGGTCCAAATTATACTGAAAAAACGAGCAAATACACAGTTTCTATAAAGTACTCTATTCATAGAAATAGTAGGGGTGTCTATATTCTTGATTCCCCATGAGAATTATTATTATCTTCTATTCATGGGTCTCAGAATAATACGCAGTTGGGAAAGTTTACCCGGAAGAAATATCGAGATTATTATGTATTTTTCATGCATTTCACTCATTTATACATGTACATTGACCCATGACCAGATGACATTATATACGCGTATATATATATATATATATATGGAATATGGGAAAAGATTACGACTTTATATACGCATCACCGCATGATCAGTTGGTATATGATGATGATGTTGCCCACAGTGGCTGAAATATGATTCAAACGATGTTATATACGTGTATATATGTATATATATATATGTATATGGGATATGAGAAAGGTTATAGAGTTATATACGCACCACCACCTGATCAGCTGGTATACGTTGATGATTTTGCCCACAATGGCCAATATGATATGATGGGATGCACTCAGAGGCTGATGATGTTATGAAACATGTACTTATGCACGACATGACATTCATACGCATATGCATGACGCTAAAAGTAATTTATGATTTACAAAGTTATTCAGACTTACAGGTTGAGTCATGTACTCAATATTTCTTCCATGTCTCTTATGTATTTATTTATGTTCCTT